TCAAAAGTTGATATGGGGAAGCTATTTGCAGGTAAAGGGACAGGTGGAAAGTGGGAGGCTTTCAAAAATGAGACAGGGGTCCAGAGATAGTACATTCCTGTTAGTGTGAAAGGCAAGGCTGGTAGGTGTAGGGAATACTGGATGACTAGAGAAATTGAAGCTCTGGTCAAGAAAAAGGAGGCATAGATCAGGTGTAGACAGCTGGAATCAAGCAAATCTCTAGAGGAGTATAAAGGACAGTAGGAGTATACTCAAGAGGGAAATCAAGAGAGCAAAAAGGGAATATGGGATAACTTTGGGTTTTCCTTAACCCTATTTGCCAAAGAGATTCAACAAATACATTAAAGACAAAAGAGTAACTATAGGGAGAGAATAGGGTCCTTTAAAGAACAACAAAGCTGCCTCGGTGTGGAACCATAGGAGATGGGTAAGATACTAAATTAATATTTCACATCAGTGTTTTCTGCGGAGAAGGATACGGAAGCTAGAGAACTTGGAGGAAGTGATAACTTGAGCAGTGTCCATATTACAGAGGTGGTGGTGCTGGATGTCTTGAAAAGCATAAAAGTGGATAAATCTCCAGGACCTGATAGGGTGCACCCCAGAACCTTGAGGGGAGATGGGAAGTGATTGCTGGGCCCTTGCTGAGATATTTATATCATCGATAGCCATGGATGAGGTGGCAGAAGACGGGAGGGTGTCTAACGTGGTGACATTATTTGGGAAACATGGTAAGGAAAAGCGAGGGAACTAAGAACGGTCAGCCTGAAATCAGTATTGTGTATGTTGTTGGTGGTGATTCTGAGGAACAGAATTTACATGTGTTTGGAAAGGCAAGGACTGATTAGGGATAGTCAACATGACTTTGTGCATGGAAAAATCATCTCTCATGAGTTTTTTGAGAAAGTGACAAAGAAAATTAATGATGGCAGAGCAGTGGACATTGTCTACATGGACTTCAGCAAGGCATCTGACAAGGTTCTGCATGGTAGACTGGTTAGCAAGGTTGGATCACATGGAATCTAGGGAGATCTAACAAGTTGGATACACAATTAGCTTGAAGATAGGAGACAGAGGATGATGGATAGTTGTTATTCTGACTGAAGGCCTGTGACCAGCAGTGTGCCGCAAGAATCGGTGCTGCGTCCACTGCTTTTTGTCATTTATATAAATGACTTGGATGTGAATAAAGGAGGAATGGTTAGTAAGTTTGCAGATGACAACAAAGCTGTGAAAAGAAGTGTGTACTTGGAATTGGTCTTGCAACTTATCAGGCCAAGAAAATTTTACATGGACTTTCTCAAACTCAGTGTATAATTGTAATTGAGGGGCTCTTGTAACAGTGGTAGAATCCCTACCTCTTGGGTAGGAGGCCCTGTTCAAGTCCCATCTGCTCCAGACATGTGTCATAACATGTTTGAACAAGTTGATTAAAAACATCTATAATTGTAACTAAAGCCAAAGTGAACCATAAAATCCTGGAACTCCTTATCCAACAGTACTGTGGCAATAATTTCACACATATGGACTATGACAGTTTAAAGCTGCTCACTACTACAGTTAGGGATGGACAACAAATGGTGACATGCCATGGTGCCCATATCCAATGAACTAATAAAAATCTTGAGCTACTTTTTAGTCTCATTTAAAAATTGTTAAAACTATTTCCTTTGCCAGGAATCTGCTGCTTTATGGTAAGTATCCCACGGTACATGAAAGAGGAAGAATAAGGAAAAATTTGGCACAATGACCAGAGAATTTAAACATCAAGTGTTTTGGATTTAGAATGCATTGCCTTTTAGGGCAGGGATTACAGACTAAATTGTAGTCTTTAAAAGGAAACTGATAAATACTTGAAAGAGCAAAAATAAATTGCAAAGATAAGTTAAAAAAAAAGAGTACAATTAGCTGGATTGCCCTTTGAAAAAAATGGTAGATGAATGCATAACGGATTGAACTGCCTGCTTGTTACTTTTAACACTTGATCATTTTGTTATTCACAACATTGAGTAGGATCTTTATTCTACAAACCAGTGAACTGCACGGAGTAGAGAACGTATTTTGAACTGCACAGCACAAATGATATGCCCTTAAAACTAAGTAATATTTTAGATCAAAAGTGTAAAAATAGGACATGTACATTTATTTCTCAAATTCTCAAGCAATGTTTTCATCAAATACAATTAAGCAGAACTAGCCACCACAAATCCAGAATCCGCACTCATATTGGATATCAGCTGCAAAGTTTTATTTATGAAAAAATACAAAAATCACTTTATAACAAAAATATTAAATGACAATTATTAATTCATAAGTACAATCTTGCAATAAAACTTTGCTCAGCTAACCTTAATTTAAAAATCCTCAGTGTAACCATTCATTTAAAACTCCCTGTATGCAGAGCATCAACTACACCATTTAATAATGATTTTAACACCAATATTTTACATTACTTTATTTTACCTCCTGTACTAGCAGATGCCCATTACAAAACACAGTCTTGTGAACTGTAAAACTGGAAGATTTGAGCCACATTATGAATTCTCTACTATGCAAAGAATGAAATTAAATCTGTGATGGTCACGCAGCATTATAAAGGGGGGTCTATTTATACGAGCTGTCATACAGCTAATACCTCATCCATGTTTGCTGTGGGGATTTAGAGATAATGTATATGGGTATGATTGCTATGTAGATTCTGGACCTCCCAGACGAGCACCTCATTGTATGCGACAGAGAGGAGAAACTTCCCAGAAGGTGTGAATTGACTGAAGTGAACAATATCATTATGCCCAGCGAAATCTTGGAATTTTCCACATGGGTATTGAATTAGTTTCAGAAGTCTCCCTGCACAAAACGAGAAACATTAAAAGTCTAGGATATGTAGCAATATTGCTTTTAGTGCATTTTGACCAAATTTCAAGCTTCAAACAATTTTATTTAATGCATCAATTATCTTCTGGTATTGAAATCTCCTTTCCGTTGAAACAAAAATAAACAACAGATCTTAGACTAGTCTTAGTAACTTATTTCTTATGGTCTAAACCAAACAATGAACAGAAATAGGCTGCTTGGTTCCTCAAGCCTGCTCCACCATTCAATAGGACATGGCTGAGCCAACAGTTCTCATGCCCACTTCCCTGCCTTCTCGCCAACTGATCCAGAATCTATCCGTCTCAGTCTCAAACACACACAAGGACTCTTCCCCCCACAGGTCTGTGGCTAGATGTTCCAAAGATGAGAAATCACACAACACCAAGTTATAGTCCAACGGGTTTATTTGAAAACTCAAGCTTTCAAAGCCTCACCCGAGCCTGAAGGAGGAGCAAGGTTCCGAAAGTTTGTGTTTTCAAATAAACCTGTTGGACTATAACCTGGTGTCGTGTGATTTCTGACCTTGTCAACCCCAGTCCAACAACGGCGTCTCCTCATCATAGATGTTCCAAAGACTCTCAACTATGAGAAAGGAAATTCCTCCTTATCTCCGTCTTAAAGAAACCCCTTTGTTCGGAGGCTATGCCCTTTGGTCCTAGACTCTCCCATGAAGGAAAGCATCCTATCAGCATTTACATTTCAAATCCCTTAAGAATCCTATATATTTCAATTAGATCACTTCTCATTCCTCTAAACTCCAATGAGTGGAGTCCCAACCTGTTTAGCCTTTGCTCATAAGATAACCCCTCCACACCAGGAATGATCCTAGTGAACCTTCCCTGATCGGCCTCCAATAAAATAATATCTTTCCTTAACTAAGGGGACCAAAACTGCTCATAGTACTCCAGATGTAGTCTCACCAACACCTTGTACAGTTGCAGGTAAGACTTCCCTCCTCTTATCCTCTAAGCTCCTTGAAATAAAGGCCAACATTTCATTAGCCTTCCTGATTACCTGCAGCATCTGTTTCATGCACAAGTGCTATCAAGTCCCTTTGTGTTGCTACTTTCTGCAATTTTTTTGCATTTAAATAATACTGTTCTTTTGTTCTCTCTTCCAAAATGAACAACTTCACATTTTCCCAAATTATACTCCACTTGCCAACATTTTGCCCACTTACTTAACTTATCAATGCTGCTCTGTAAACTTTGCACCCCTTTGCGACTTGCTTTCCACCTATTTTTGCGTTGTGTGCAAATTTGGCTATAGTGCATTCACTTTCTTCCTCCAAGTCAAATTGTCAATATATCAATTAAAAAGGAAATTCTATACCATATAGAACAGGAAGCATAAGGATTGATCTCAGGTGTCTACTGAATTGGCTGATTCACTCCAGGAAACAGAATTGTTTTGTATACCCCCTGCCCAAGAGGACTAAATTTTAAAAAAGTTTCAATTTTTAATGATCACATATTTTAGCATTTCAGGCTTGTGTCAGCCCTTTTGCTTCTTGGGGCATATTGCGGCAGAAATGCAATGACTAACATTTCCAACAAAAAACTGGGATAAGTTAAATTAGATCATTGCACAATTTCCTAGTGGGTCTTAAGATGTCATAATTTTGTGAGTTCATGCTAATGAAGTAGCCTGGCAAACAACGTTATGAACGTTTATACATACAGATCCCATTATTACTATTATTACGGGTTTTGTGCTGTAGCCTCAGGGTTTGACTTTAAACAGGAAAGATTTCTATAATCTATGTCTAGCACTAAATGATGAAAAGAATGGAAAGATACTTCAAGAAACCTTGAACCAGTACATGGGACAATGAAGAAGCAGAGACGAAGTACAATATTCTAGGCTGGTCCTTTTGGAAAGTGCTCTATGTGTTATAACCATTGCATCAAAGCACCTAGGTTACAGTACTTGATTCCATTTACGTCAAAACCATCAATCATGCTTCTATAATGTTAGTATATTTGCACAAAGCAATAAAGTCTATAAAAAATGTTGTACAAGTTCATTGTATTATTCATGAGACTACCAAAAATGATATTCAAATTAAGTAACTCCTTAACTGAGCACAGGAGTTGGCTGCTGCTTGTTTAACATTTGGATCCTTTTTCATTTTTTCTTTCCTTCCTTCCATCACCACATCCTTCCAATAAAGAACATCTCTTTCTACAGAATATTTTCCTCTGTACTACCCTCTGATTGTATAGTAGAGTTAAACAAACCTACGTTTACAAATATCATTTTAAGCCTAAAGGAAAGGAAATGCAGCAGATTAACTCTTAATTGTAACAGGACTTTTCAGTAACTCAGCATGGTTAAGTTCCCTTTCTACCATGGTGTGTTTCTCTGCCACTCAAAAGTCATTTATCACTTTTGTACATGCAATATTATTTTTAAAGCTTGTAACACTCATGACTAATTGAGAAGGTATGCGATTGCGTGTATTTTCCGAAGTCACCTGTGAGAAACTCTGGCTCAGATAATCACAGAACAAACTTCAACTTACCATTGGTCCCAATGGCAATAAACTGCCCTCCAGGAGAGGGGCTCATACTTGTGGCCCATTGAGGCAAAGGTATCTTTTTAATTGTCTACAAAGAGATACAGAAAAAAAAAGACATTAAGGTACAGAAAGGATGTTGAGACAAACAGCTCAGGTTGAACAATTTCAGCAAACCTGATCTTTGTAGACACTTCAAACCAGATTTCAGACCAATAAAAAGTGTTGCAGAAACAATTCTACATTGAAACCATCCACTTGAGTTGTACTGCGAATGGATGCTCTGCTCTAATTTGAAGATTAAGAACTCACTGCCCAAGGATGAGAATGGGTGAAGATAATGAGGTCTCAACAATTTGAGGAGCAAGGCATCACGTACATATTATACAGTGGACAGCAAAGTTATTGCAGCATGAAGGGCCAGAGGATTACAGCATTTTTATCATCTGCAGTGAAATCCAAATGCATCTAGGCCACTTTGGGAGTGATGGGCAGAACCATTAGGATTCCCTGCTTACTTTAAAAAGTATGCAAACCAATGCATTGTATGAAATTATGAAAGTGACCTCAGCAGTTCAATTTTCAATGCAGTTAGTATGTGTAATGCAGGATGAACTCCATACTTACAACAGATTATCCGACAGGTTGTATTCTATGTCCAAAGTGAAGCAAAGGGCAATGGAGGCAGCAAGGCAGAGGTCAGAAAAAAATTACAAAGGGTGGAACTCCATAACCAAAAGTTCAGAATTTCACCAAACAGCAGAAATTTCTAATCCTTGAGTATGAAGAATACTTGTATAAGTTTTTTCTAATCCCCTGGTGCCGATAATTTGTGCACTAATGTATCGTACTACAAAAAAAAACAACACTGCAGGCTTTTAAAAATGTTTGAATAAAGACCTGTAATTGACATATACCTGCTTTTTATATAGATTGTACAGTATGATCTCTGGTTTCGCTCCAAATCCCACATACACCACTATCCCACTTTGACTGCGTGAAAAGGCAGCCAAGCTCGGAGGGAGGGTACTTTTGTCACAGAGCTGACAGAAATAAAAAGAAATGTTGAAATTACACAACTGACCATCTGAAGCACATTCTGGTCTCTATTGCAACATTTATTTAGTAAGCAAAAAGCCTGGTTTGTCTTTATTTTTGAGTCTGGTGACTCTTCATCAGCAATTTCTGCTCTTGTTCCAGCAGATACTGTATATTTACGTATAAGTAGTTATGTCCCAGCTGAAGGCTGAGTCATTTAACATTGTTTCATATAAACTTAATAAGTAGTGCCAATATATCAATCTAACTTTGCCAGTTTCAGGATAACATAATTTGCCACAGACTTCCTCTTTTGAGGCCTGCACGTTCCATGACTCTCCCATAACAATTCTCACTTTCAGTCTCCCTGCCATCGCTTGCCTCTCACCCTTGCACCTCATCTCTCATCCTTTCTAATGACCTTATGCTTTGGATTTTATTTCATGGCTTTGCACTGAACTCAACTGAAGCCCTGGGCTTCGGCTAGTGGCAGAAGTTGGTTAGCGCAAGTAGTCCTGGAACTTCAGCTGATACCTGTAGCAACCACTAGTTGGAGCTGGTCAAATTAAAAGTACAGTTTGGAATTTTTTTATTGCATATTCTGTTTCTTTTATATTTAGTGATGGGTGGGGCTGATTTTACTTTGCCAGTTATTTATGGTAGGAATGCACAATACTGAACGTACATAGTTTGACATTTCAACTTGTACGCTGTTTTTTCTAGGCAAGAAATACCTGAGGGAACAAAATCTGGCTTTAAAATTGATTCCTATGGGAAATTATGATTCACTTGAAGTTGCGATTTTCAGAAATGCAACTACAACTTTAAGTGAGGATTACCGCAGTGTCTAACGATTAAAACACAATATTAGGCTGCAAAGATAAGAAAGGTTACAGAATCTGGTTTTATAGATTTGGCAAACATATGGTGATACAGATGGCATACATTTTACCCGCTTCCTAAAAAGGCGGAGGTTAGGCTCACCTCCGATTTAATAGGTGCTGGGAACGTCAACCAATCAATAAGCTCACATTGGTCTTTGTGCCAATCAGTAGCCCAAACACTAACACGTCGATCTGAACTGACAGCCAACCACATTTCACATCCATCAAGTCCAAATTCGTCATACTGGAAAAGAAATGCATAACAGTTTAGTGTGTCATACCTTACGCCAATTTAGCTGAAAGCATTTCTGCCGTTTAGCTGAATGATAAGTGCTCAGTAGAACATTGTAGATATTTTTAAACTTTGAGTATGCATTTAGTTTCTTGATATTTAATTTTGTGTTATGAGATTTTTATTAACCCTAGACTTACTTTTTTCCGTGTACATTCGATGGCAGTAATCGGCGAACCTTTATGATCACTGATGACACGAATAGTGATTCCTGTCCGAGAACTACTCACAGCCATCAGACCATCCTTACCTCCTGAAATGATAACCTCACCTAGGGATAAATGTGAAATATCTGTCAATGTTAATCAGACACTCCAGATCAGGGGTACTTGTACAATGGTGATAAAAGGATAGCTGACGGGTCTTCTGGGAAAAAGCTACGCATTTGTGCTGTATACTTATGATTAGCTTTCTAACCTACGTAGCGTATTTTCTATATTAGTAGCTAGTGGAACATACCATCCATTGAATATGCAATGGCACTGACTGCCACAGGATGGGGATGAATCTTCAATTCCATCTCAGTTTTCAATATTCCAAAGAAACGTATTGTGCCATCACTATATCCTGCCACAATTTGCTGTTTGTCAGCACATTTCCTCGAGTGGACTACTGGGCTCCATGCCATACATAAACAGCTCTGGAACATGATAGAGAAAGTTTAAATGTGAATGCTTTCTCACACAGAATCAGTTCTTCCATCCAGTTTTACTTCTTCCAGATCTAGTGATTAGTTTTTTTTTTATTCATTCACAGGATGAGGACATCGCTGGCTAGGCAGCATTTATTGCCCACCCCTAATTGCCCAGTGAGCAGTTAAGAGTCAACCACATTGCTATGGGTCTGGTGTCACATGTAGGCCAGACCAGCTAAGGATGGCTGTTTCCTTCCCTAAAGGGCATTAGTGAACCAGATGGGTTTTTCTGACAATCGACAATGGATTTATGTTCATCATTAGATTGTTAATTCCAGATATTTATTGAATTCAAATTCCACAATTTGCCATGGTGGGATTCGAGCCCAGGTCCCCAGAACATTATCTGCATCTCTGGATTAACAGTTCACCGATAACACCACTAGGCCATCACCTCCTCCGTTCTGATGAAACAACTGCTATACAGAATCCATGATGCTTCACATGTTTGATTAGTAGATTCAAAAAGTACTGTTCTAGAGGTCACTGATTAAAGAATAAGGGATCACCCATTTAAGACAAAGATAAAAATATTTTCTCACAGAGATTCATGAGTCTTTGGAAAGTTCTTCCTCAAAAGGTGGTGCAAGCAGTCCTTGAATATTTTAAGGTGGAGATAACTAGATTCTTTATAAGCAAGGTGGTAAAAGATTATCCATGGTTAGATGGGAATGTGGAGTAACTGAATGTCTTACTGAATGGCAAAGCAGGTTTGAGGGCCCAACAGGGCTAGCCATTCTCCTATTTCATGTGTTCATATGTAATAAATGATGGATGCTGTTGATGACTTAGTAACATCACTTGATATTGTTGATGAAAACTTCCATCATTTAGTAATTTTAAAGCAAACTATCCCTTACTTGTTCTGCATTTCTTTTTTGGTAACATACCTGATTAAGAACATGAAACTGAACCACCAGCTCGGTGGTGTGCATGACCCACACTCTTAAGCTGCCATCCTCTGCACATGTGGCAAAATGACTTTCATCAGGGCTAAAAGTCACTTGGTTAACCTAAAGAAAAATAAAACAGGTAAAATGCTCAACAATCTCTTGCTTATTTACACTTAAAAGGGCAACATCTAAATCCAAGTGAGAGTCAGATGTTGAAATTTGTTCACATTGCCATCCAAGTATGAGATTCTGAGGTATGATGGCACAAGACATATTGTGTATGCATTTAATACAAAAAGCACAAAGCTTTGCAAAGATGAGTATATTGTTTTTCTGTGAAAAGTAATTCAATCTTTCACTTAAAAATAAGTAATTTTAGCAACATTCTTTTACTTATTTTGGTGGTGATACAATATTCGTTCTGTGCCAATGTCTGGATTAGTCACATGCAAAACTATTTTGAAGTCAATTTTCTTTACACTTGTATCCATATTATTTTAATTTTTTTTATTGATAAAATAATTCTAGCAATTTATCCTTCATCTTCTATTGACCAGTGAAAAGGAATATGGCTCTAATTGTCAACAAAGCGACTCTCCCTTCCCAGCTTCCACGCAAGGCAGCTCTGACGGAATTGAGTACTCATTAAACTTCTCCATGTTTGAGTGTGGCTCAGCTGTGACTAATCTCACATTTAAGCAACTTGAAAGTTACCTAACCTTGTTTCTGTGGCCACTGATAAGTCGGATGCTGGTGTTTTCAGCCCAGTTTATATACCAGAGAGTTCCTGCTGTGGTCCCCACAATACCCATGTTCATGATATCATCAAAGACTGCACTAACTATTGTACCATCCAGAATCATTTCATGTTCCAGGAGTACTGAATTTGACCTGAAAGGAAAATCAGAACCATTAAAATGGCTGACAAGTTATCCATCCCAGACACAAATAATCTGGACAAAGTACTACATTATGACACTGGAACAGATACACTTAAGTGGAATCTTATTCTATACAAACCAGTTTCTAAATGTACAACAGTTAATCTTGCCTATTTAGTAATCGCTGTAAAAATATAACTTAGATTAGGAATGCCAATCTAGTACATTCATCCAAACAGTGACAAGCCTCATTACAGCATCATTACCTTGCTCTTGTGCCCTCAAGTCTCATCTCCTGTACTGCAGCGACTGCCCAGAGCCTGATTTTCTTTGTGTTACTGCCAGTCATCAGGCGATACCTTCGACTTTGCACAATCCCTGTAAGAGAAGAATTGCACAGTATATAGCACTCTATCAAACTGCATTAGCAACTGTGCCATATTGTACTCATACTTACCAATCTCCCCCTCATCTGCATCCCAAGTCATGAAACACCTATTCTGTTGGGTGTCCCATGCGCAGATTTTCCCAGTGTTGGTAGCAGTATAAAGAACTGAATCACTGTTATAGCACAATGCTGTGAGTTCATCAGCACCAACTTCATCCGGGATTGAGACTCTGTGAACCTGAAACAAAATCATGTACAACATTCTGAATTATTAGAACAAAAATCAAAACTTTCCTTGCCCAAAGGAACTGATTGGATAAGTATCTGAAATGGGAGTAGGAAGTTATGTTTTGGATGCAAATCAGCAATGAACCATTATCTCAAGTTATCAGGCTCCACTCAATCTTAAGAAGCTGGTTATAAAACAGCATATGATGCAAGTCAAATGTTTGCTCCTTGCCTTCATATTATGGACTATACGTTTTCTAACTTAAGAAATAATTGCCTCACTAGGAAATAATTTCACTATCAGTATACTGATCATTGGTTTTAGCTGTAAAATATTTCTGGTCCTAATAACATTAGTACAGAGTAATATCTGATCAGTTAATCATCCTGTTCTGCTACACTGTAGGGTTGTCGAACTGAATAAATCAAACTCAGCACGCAAGAGGCTGGTTAAATATTGCTGTCTCTACTTGTATTGAGATTAAAAATTGATGGAGTGACAACTGTGGAATTTCACACATGGTGCACTTTATTTTTAAAAGGAAACCCAGGAATTATTCAATTCATATGAGTATGTAATGCTCTTTAATGGTTTACTAAAGTTTAAATGTTCAGGTGGCACACAAATGACCTAATTTTGAGTCTTCTGCGTAAATGCTGTTTGCATGTTTTTTCACTGTACAAACCTATTTTTTTCTACATCAATCCTTACTTTCATATTAGTCAGCTATACATCAAGAACAAAAGACAACTATGTCAGAGCAGTAACGGTGCTTTCCACCATTAGGATTGGAGCAGGAATTTTAAAAAGTTGAGACAGGAAAGATCCTAAAAGCAAAGAGGGCAGGAAGAATAAAGGTGCTATGAAGAAAACAAGACAATCCAATATTTTTAGTTTTATTCTTTCAGGGTTTGGGGATATCATTGGCTGGACCAGTATTCATTGCCCATTCATGAATTTCCTCAAGAAGGTGGTGGAAAGCTGCTTTAACTGTAGTCCTTATATTGCATAGGTACATCCATTGTGCTATTAGAAATATAATTAGAATACATATTACAATGCTGTCTTGCCTAATGCATGGTTATTATCTAGAATTTATGAAAGCAAAACATTTAAATGCAAAAAGTTACACAACCCAAGTAATTGTAACATCTACTGGATGAATGATCCAAGCTGACCGGGTTCAATCTTCACTCTATGTGGAAATAGCTGAACTTGGGGTATTCCCAGTCAAGGGCTGGGTGCCTCAGTTGCAGGACCGCAGGACTGGGTCAGATTAGTGCCAACAGCATGGGGTTTGATTCCTTTTGTTGGGATGAACCTGCATCCTTGCCTTACCCTTGACAGAGGTTTTGGCACTGAAGCTGGAGTTGCCTTTGGGCAGGCAATTCAAGAAGTAGTTCCCAGATTAAAGAACAGACAGTCTGCTCCTCAGTGGAATCCATTAACCTTTGCTAGAAAATGAGATCAGGTAAGGGCTAGGCGATTGCTACATTCTGATGCTTGCTGTTTATCTTAACAAATGAAGAATGGCACAATGACAGGAGAGATGGTAGCCTTAAACTATACCCAAAGGCAGTGCCTTTAGCAGAAAAAAGGGAAAAAGGGCGAAAATGGTAGATTCCCAGAATATATAAGACCAGAGATCACCTATAGATGCAATATCTTGGGGGATAAACAATGAGACAGGTGAAGCCATTGTTTGGCAAGTTACTCACCACATGTTGCTCTTCTACATAAAACATGATTATAAAGCTGCATCAAAGCTTGAAATTAAATGTCGTTCTAGTCAACTATATCCTTGCGGAATGCAGTAACTTCTAAAGAGAATGTATAAAATACACAAAGGACAAACCCAATCGTAAATATCATTTTAAAAAAAAAAATCAAGAAATACATTCAATTGCTAAAACTAACCTTGAGTTGGACCTCATTACCAGTCTGCTCCACCAGCCAGAAATGCACTCCTCCTACTCCAACACAGGCAAATTCATTAACCGCAGTCGGATCAAATGCTAAATCATGGAGAGGATTTGATATTCTTGTTGTTGACAACAACTCATACTTCCTGGTATCCCATAGAGCAATTGTGAGATCCCTGTAATCTCCTGGAAAAGATTAGATCAATCACCATTAGAAACCTTTGGGAACCACATGATGCAACGCGTACACCTAATTTAAATTTTGAAGAACACAGTACCATTTCTATATACGAAATAAATTAAGACAGGTTACAACCTTCTGCGCTGACTGTGGGACAAATTCAAATATGTTTCAAATTATAAAACCTACAGTAAAATGTGCAATATTGTTACAGATCCATTATATAATCAATTCTTTACAGCTCTGCCTTTACCAAGGCTACTCAAGATGGTATCAAGTGGAAAACTGCAGACGGTACCATGCGACTCAAAGCTTGGGACTGCAAATAATGCTTCAATGTTTATTCATGCTTGAAATGTTTTTTTACAAATCTGATGTCTCACCTCATTTGATATCACTTTGTTTTAATTTTAAGCCACTTTATTTGTGAATTCACCTGATAAATTTTAATCACCTGAAACAGTGAGGGGGTGGATTTTAACTTTGAAGTCTTATAAAACAATTGCAAACCATCCAACTTCTAAGTTTCTCAGCAGTGGGATGCAAAGCAAATGGTAATTTAACTATAACAAGGTGGTGTCTCACAAGTTTAACCACCATTTCAAATGTACACCAGGCTGCCTGCATTTCCTGAGCCCCAACAAATCCAGCAGCTACTAGTGCAGGACCCCATGCTGAGGGTCTTCCCAGTTGTCTGTCACATCCAGCATACCTGCCCCACCAAAACCCTCACCCAGTCAAAATCTTGAATCCCTGCCCCCAACACACCCCAACCCCCACACCAAGATCAGGGATCAAAAACAAATTCAGCCTGCCGCCTCTTCTTCAATGTCCCACATTTGACTGGAAGTCATGACACTCAATTATCCTGGCTTTTGGGTGGCTCAAACTTCACAGCATGTGGAACAACCCCTGCTTCTTGGCTTCCTCTGACATCCCTAATCCCTTCGTGGCTGTGCAGATTTTCAAAATTTTCTATTAACTGTTTCTTTCTTCACTGTTTCTGCCTGACCCACAGTGTTTTCTAGCTTTTTCTGTTTTTATTTAAGATTTCCAGCATCTGCAGAATTTTGCTTTGGGACATCTGTTAGCAGTGGAAACAACTTGCATTTTACTCATTCCCAAGAAGGACTGCTCTCAAGGAAATTAGACAAGCCTGATCCCAAAAGCTTAACCAGCCTATGCTTTTGAATATCAATGCTTTTCTTTTGGGAAATAAACTTACCGAGAGATGGCATGTTGCTCATAAGCACTATTTATCATAACAGATATATTTTACTTTTTTTGACAAAAGATGATGATGAAAATTCCTAAAGTCAGGAGGCATGATCAGAGCAGAGATGGGAAAGGATGGAAGTCAGGAAAAGTTATAAAAGGTATCCACTCAAGCTCTCTTCCCAAAAGCAGGTCCTTTGTCATTTTACTAAACAAAAAAATGAACTGTGGATGCTGGATATCTGAAACAAAAACAGAAATTGCTGGAGAAACTCCGCAGATCTGACATCTGTGGAGAATGCAGAGTCGATCAGGTTCTCCAGCAATTTCTGTTTTCCCTTTGCAATTATACTTTGAATCAGAGAAAAGGACCATGACTTTTCTTTTAACTATTTGGGGGTCTGGTGTCTGCCGGAAGGCAAGCCCTTTGTCTGACACAACATGAACTGGGATCATGTTCTTGGCATTATTTTGAGGGAAACATTAACCATGTAGCCAGCTGAACTAATGAACCCCCTATAAAAATCAGCTATGTCCATTGTGGCAAATTGCTGTTTCTAAACAGTGTTATTATTTATATATAATATTTCTGCAACTGGATCATGGGACGAGGGCTATCTTTTCCATAGATCCATTAAGCTGATTGCTGACTAAATGAGTTAAGAATAAAAGGAAGGGAAAAGAAAAGGAAACAGTAATCATAAACATAAATTAGTTCAATGCTTTTATGGTTTCAAATCAACTCATTTTCACTGAGGTTCAAAAATAAAAGTCACTGTCCGAGAACAGTAAAAATCCAAAAATAATTTGCCTTGATCTGGTCAATAACTTCATTGCCAAGTTCAGTTTATTTTTTCCAAAGATGCAGCGGTTATAATCAATGCAGAATCGCTGTCCTATAACTTTTGTGGCACATACCATTGGATCATTAATGAGGTGCATCTTTAAAAAGATCATTTCTAATATATACTTTGTTGAGCATTCAAATTCAGCAGGTTTAAATCTTGCCCATTCTTTTCTTTTGAAACATTCAAACACTTGCTAAGGTGGAAGATGATAGTTCATAAAATGAGTCAAAATCTGCTAAGGTGTGTTGTCATTACTGTAGTCGCTTTTAACTATTTTAAAAATTCACTCATGGGACACGAACATCGCTGGATAGGTCAGCATTTATTGCCCATTCCTACTAAATACAGCTATACATGTAACAACTCTGTCCCAAGTGCAAAGCAGTGATCTGAACCTACCAGCAGACATGAAGAGCCGGTCATCTCTGGAGTAAGCCATGGCTTGTACCTCTGTTGTGTGCTGACACAGAACCGTCTTACAGCAGCCACCTGCCACATTCCAAATGAAGATAGAACAGCCAGTCTTGTTCTGATTTCCTGAAGCTGAGGCAAGATCCTTCAAGATGGAACAAACAGCAAAAATAAGATAATCAAATTTTTAAGGAATGAAGTCACTAAATAAAGGAATCCTCAGAGACTCTAATTTCACAAAGGCTCTACTCCAACAAACATTTTGTTCAACTACAAGCTGAAGAAGTGCGAACAAAACATGAATATTTCTACAAAAACTTATCTCCCTGTGTGTTTGTGAGCAGCAAATGAAAAAGACAGATCACATTATCTTAGCCTGTTGCTCTTCCACTACACAGGTCATGAAATATGTTTTAGTTTTGCCCTGGAAGTTGAAGAGATGAAGAAAAGTGTAGTGTAATGTATTATTTTGGGTTGGTAATGAGTTAATTCTAACAGTGTGACATCACATGATTTTGTTTCTCAGACAGCCTCATGGAAGATACAAGTCAGAGCTCTAAGATGTGTTTCGATGTTGTTCTTATTTTAAATACCCTTGCAGACTCTAAGTATTTTGTATTTGTGTAATAATACCAAGAATACAAGAAAGAGCATGGTTTAGGGCATGCTTAATGGCCTGCTTAATATCTGCAACTTGAGCCTGTAAATGTAAATTTTCAAAGGGTCACAAACCTTCAATCCATGTCATTTGATTAAATTTATAGGTGCACCAGCCCCTATTAGGCTTGATCGCCTACAACAAATGGCAAGTGTATTTCTTGAATAAGTGGGTAAATGTACGGCAGATAAAATTTAAGACGACAATTAAGAAGGCAAATGGAATATTGTCCTTCGTTGCTAGAGGGATGGAGTTTAAAAACAGGGAGGTTATGCGGTAGCTGTATAGGGTGCTGGTGAGCCCACACCTGTACTGTGTACAGTTTTGGTCTCCTTACTTGAGAAAGAATGTACTGGCACTGGAGGGGATACAGAGGACATTCACTAAGTTGATTCTGGAATTGACAGGTTTGACTTACGAGGAGAGATTGAGTAGTCTGGGACTATACTCATTGGAATTTAGAAGAATGAAGGGGGAGATCTTCTAGAAACATATAAAATTATGAAGGGAATAGTTAAAATGAAGTAGGGAGGCGGTTTCCACTGGTGGGTGAAACTAGAACTAGCAGGCATAGCCTCAAAATAAGGGGGAGCAGATTTAGGACTGAGTTGAGGAGGAGATTCTTCACCCAAAGGGTTGTGAATCTGTGGAATTCTCTGTCCAGTGAAGTAGTTGATGCTACCTTGTTGAATGTTTTTAAGGCAAAGATAGATAGATTTTTGAACAGTAAAGGAATTCACGGTTATGGTGAGCAGGGGCATAAGTGAAGCTGAGTCCATGAAAAGATCAGCCATGATCTTATTGAATGGCGAAACAGGATCAACGGGCCAGATGACCTACTCCTGCTCCTATTTCTTATGTTCTCAAGTGTCACGTGGATTAATGTGAGGTTATGCACTTTGGTTAGAGAAACAGGAAGTCAGATTATTATCTAAACTGTGAAGGAAGGAGCTGTAACAAAACCTGGGTGTCCTTCTACATCACTCAGTGAAAGGAAGCAGGCAGGTGTGGCAGGCAGTGAAGACGACAAATGTTATATTGGCTTTCATAGTAAGAGGACTTGAGCTCAGGAACAGAGATGTGTTCCTAGAATTGTACAGGGCGTTGGGGAGGCCGTACTTGGAGTATTGCGTGCAGCTGTGGTCTCCTAAACTGGGGAAGAATGTATTGGCTATGGAGTGAGTGCACCAAAGGATTACTAGACTGATTCCTGGAATAGCAGCACTGATATATCAAGAAGCACTGGATTGGTTATGACAATAGTTATAGAATAGTAACGGGGTTGGCCTTTTAGGACTGAGATGAGGAGACATTTCTGCACGTACAAAAGTAACAAGCCTGTGGAAGTCTCTGCCACAGAAAGCTCGAGGGCAAAACACAATGTTTTCAAGGAGACAGATACAGTTCTTAGGGATAAAGGGATCAAAGGTTATGGGTTGAAAGCAAGAACAGGGTACAAAGTAGGGTAATCAGCCATGAGCATATTGAATTGTGTAGCAGGCTCGAAAGGCCGAATAACCTACTCCTGCACCTGTTCTCCAAGCTTTTATATTTTCTTCAAATCAGAGTTTATTAAATGACATTTTATACTTATTGGTGACAATAAGGGATCATTAAATTAATTTCAACACAAAGTAGCACACTACCTCTTCTTCTTTCCTTCTCTGACAAACTTAGTGTGAAAAGAGACTATTACATGTGAAATGGATTTATAGATTAAAAGGATTACTGCTTCAGAGAAAAAAAAGTCACTTAATGATAATTCAGGAAGCACTAACCTGCAAACCTATGTTGAAGACATTTCCATAATTAGTAGATTAGTGACTAAATACAGCACTATTTACTGAGGTAACAAGGTGTGGAGCTGGAGGAACACAGCAGGCCAGGCAGCATCAGAGGAGCAGGAAAGCAGACGTTTTGGGTCAGGACCTTCCCGAAACGTCAGCTTCCCTGCTCCTCTGATGCTGCCTGGTCTGCTGTGTTCCTCCAGCTCCACACCTTGTTACCTCAGT